AATCAGAAATATGTGATCGTTTACAAATAATTCGGAAAGGCTTAACTTAAATGCTTTTCTTGAATCTAAGCACAGTTTTCTACAATACCCTTATATGTTTAATTCAAATAATCATACGAACGGATTACAATAAGAATTTTACCACAACAAGATATTTGTTATAATAGCACACATGTCAATGTTTGTGATTATTCAATAAAATGTCAAGGTAGGAATATATCAATTGTAAGCAAACCCTCCAGACAGATCATAAGAAATAAAGTTTAAAACGTACAAAACTTAAAACACAATTTTTATGCTTCTCATAATTGAATTAAAAAGTAAAGACAAGAAATCATGCACGTATCCTTGATGGTACAAATAACAATATAATAATAAAAAATATTCAGATAATAATGCAACATAGATATCGAGTGACCTTACTGATTAATGATGTTTTCGAATCATTGTCTTCATTTTACGATATGAAATATAAAAATCAAGGTTGCATGTGAAACCACAAACTATCATGTTAACAGTTGCAATAAGCAGTCTCTTTTATTTATCAGCTATTTATGGCCATACATATATTTTGGTTTCTTTTTTTTCAGAAAGGAATGTATATCTTAACTATTGTAAACATCTATCTGTTTGTGGTAGACTTGAATAAAAAACAACAATTATAAATGATTTTGTTGTAAACAAAAATATCTCACTGCATATTAAACACACATTGCCATCTTGAATTTATCAATATAGCTCAAGATGCGTTTTTTCTAAACGTTTAAGTATGAAATGTTTAACGAGGTTTACTAAAGTTACCAAAGTTAATATATTCAGATTGCGACAGTTGTTAGTTACTGTATTCCTAGAAAATATTTCGCGCGTTTTAAGTTAGCGCTTTTCGCGGTAGGTATGATTCCGCGAATCTTTATAGCCGCGAATATGTCAGTTATAACAAATCCGCGAACATTTCTAGCTTCAACCAAATATAAACATAAACATACAGAATTTTTAAAATAATCTTACTTGCGGATACATACGGGGTTTAATATGCAATTTTCCCTTCCAACCTCTGTTGTTTTCATGCACACAAAGATAAAACAATAATTGTAACTTCACAGCAATTATCCCTAAGATAATAAAATGTATTGGGTTTATCATATGCTGTTGTATTCGGGGGGTTTTAAAGCATAAATTGAGACACTCACAGAAAGAAAAGATATTAATATTCAGTTGATTTATGACAAACAAAAACAATTGTTAGATTGCAAAATCTATAAGTCTATAACTTTCCCTGAATTCATTCTTTAAGAAAATATGTTAATTGAATAAAACAATTTTGTTCTTAACCTGCAAATGTAAACAGTAATGTTTTACAGATGATTTTTTTTCATGCAATGAAAGCTCCTATATTCTGTACATTTCGTTTTCATATTTGTTTAGACACTTGTTCAATTACTTAACGTCGTTTTTTATATATCTCTCAAGGGGCTGCGATACTTCTGAATTCTGAAGTACTGCTGTGAATTTGTATATGTATCTATAACTGACTTTGTTTCTTTATTTTTTAACTCAGTTTCGTTAATTTCTGTGAAATATTTATCACGTTATCTATTTAAGATAAATACTTATTACAATAATTTTGTATATATAAATATAAGTAGTGGAAAATATGCACATCTAAAATACCAAGAAGGATACACGAACATAAATCTTAATCACAATATAATGGAAGGGAACTTAAGTATAAGAAGTACAAATATAATGCCCTCTTCAGGGTTTTGTAACGTGAATAAAACTCATTTGTATTGTGTTGTGTAAAAAGGAACTTCAAGACAATCAGCAAGAAAGGTGATAAAATTGTATTGATTATGTATAGACCGTTACTGAATAGTCATTGATATTTTATTCACAATAGAATGTTATAGCTTGCGGTCCTACGTTGTTAAACTAAGAATCAATACGTTATTAAAAAAATGATAGAAAAAAAGAAATACATATGATAATGTTTTTGTTTGGATTTGACGTCGCACCAACACAGTAGAGGTCATATGTAGACTTTCCAGCTTTCTACGTGAAACTAATTTCCCCTCGGTTTATTATTTCATTTCTATTGATCACATACCAAAAGTTAAGACCGTTTGAAGTCGACGTGCCTATAGTACAACGAAAACATTTAGCGTGTCTTAACGCTATGTTTATATAACGAAAATGAAGTCAAATCAAAATATATGAATGGCCGTGTAGACAGAACAGAACATATACTTTAGTTCTGACTTGGACTCAACACCCGTCATCATAACATACATTGTTTTATCGTGATAACGGAAATAAGTAAAAAAAATATTAAGTGCCTTTCCCTCTCTTTGGCCCATTCACTTTTGTATCAAATGGAAACCCCAGATAAAATAGATAAATACAGAATCCCTAAAGAAAGCCCAACACGACAAAATTGAAAATGTTGCAGGCTCGGTTTGATTGAGCCTGTTCATGGACGGTACTGGAAAGTGCAAGTTACCGTCCACGCCCCCTAGCACCGGCTTAAGCAGAATTCAACATTTAAACATGAAATAGTAAAATTTTGAATTTAGAAACATCCGCAGATGTGTTCATACGGCGGTTATCATGGAACCTTCAATGTGACACTTCCGTGCCATTCCATGAAAAGCGGCGAATGAACTAATACCAGCTAATGCTGTCTAAGGGACTTTACAGCTAGCTATATATATAATATACTAGTATATGCTTAATTCATTATACCCGATTTTATAATTAATGGAATATTGAAACCTGGTATGAAATAATTTATGATGGAAAATATGTTGTTCAATGTTCATAACAATGTTTTCATTTATCTTTTTGCTCCAACATAATTATGAAAATGCCATGCTCTAAAATATAAATTATCTCTATTAAAATGTTACAGAAGTTTGTTTTATAAATGAAATATGATTTATTGTTTAAAACGACACTGATGTCATTTTAAAGGAATACACTATTCACTTAATTACAAAATGTATTTATGCTCTTCTTTCCAATCTTTTTCTTTTCAAAGAATTGATCGATCAACTTGATTATTAACATGATTCTCATCAAACAATAACACGCTTGTAATCCATGTGTTCTCTGTAAATTTACATAGCAGCTCTTAAGTGTCATTCATCTTCCATTCAGTTTGTCCTGGCGCTTTGTACAATAGCGATTCTTGCTATATCAATTACGTTCTGTCATTTGTTTCTAATCAATATGAGCAATCAATTTTCTAACGCAATTACCAATCAACTTACATTAGCACAGTTTCAGTGTTATTTGATTGCGTTAGAACGCTTTAAAACCTTATTATTAAATTGTCATTACCATATTTTCTTTCATTATAAAAATAATAAATGCTCAACACACTAAAATAAAAGATCTGAAGTGTTAATAATTTAAATTTGATGACAGTTCATTAAACTAGAATCATACAAAATTGTGTTCATTGTCACGTATTCTTCCAACTTTAACATGCTTGGAGTATGTGTAACATTACTTTTGAACTAGTCGTCACACTTTGTATGTTTTACACATTTCATAGTTTATGCTTTCTAATTTGTTTAATGATTTCTAATGATTTCTATTTCTTAAATTGCAATTTTAATATATTCAACAATGCTATATTAGCGAAATGTTTGTACTCACTTCAGTGTATGATCATTGTGTCTTCGAGTTTGTAGGGTGATAGAACGAAATTAAACATCGTACACCGAGTGTTTACCCTCGTCATGAAAGGCAGTCATGACATAATTTAAATAGAAGCTAATTGTGTACTTAGTTATATGTAAGGGGCCTCCGTGGCCGAGTGGTTAAGGTCGCTGACTTGAGATCATAGGTCCCTCAACGCTGAAGGTTCGATCCTTAATCGGGTCGAAATCTTTCATGTGAGGAAGCCATCCAGCTGGCTTACGGACGGTCGATGGTTCTACCCAGGTGCCCGCTCGTGCCTGAAATAATGGCCGGAGGGGCATCTGGGGTCTTCCTCCACCAATAAAAGTTGGAAAAAATCGACAAAACTCTCGGCGGGACGCTCTAGGATGGCCCAACTTAAGTATAATATTTACTTTCCGGCGGCGACCATAAATAAACGCATTGAAAACTTAGTTATACACGGACACAACATGGGGGCAGGTATAAATTAACATGATTTTCATTATATTAAGTAATTTCAAGTGTTTTTGATCATGTTGTTCAAATAGAATATAGAACCATTATTCCTTAGTATGATATAATTTGTCTGGAAATTTGATTTGTGTCGTTGTTACTTCATAAATAAAACACTGCTATCTTGTCTGAAGATAGACGGTTTTCTAAAAATACTTAATGATAAAATAACAACTGTATTCATGAATTATACATGAAATGGAGAGAATATTTTTAATTAGTTTTGAAAATTATCGCAGATTCATCTAGACCATGCATATTATATTGATATTAAGGGTGAAAACTCTTCGGAATTATATTTCTACGGCACCCCTATCAATATTCTAAATTTACAAAGATAAAACCAGTAACGCAGGTGTTTAAATCTTAAATGAGTAATGCGTGTGCATTTGTCTCATAATAAACTATAACGATATTTTTTCATGATAATACCGTTTTATATTAAAGATACTCGGACGAGTTAAAACTGCTTTCACTTGCTTAGTGTTTTCGTGTTTATTTGTAGGTCTAAGAAACACTGCAAATGGAACCGTCGTGTTCCCGTAAGTGTACCTTACACTTACGTATTCATGGATACATTATATTATTATACACATTTTATAATGGCCAATAAGATTACCTGTTTTCAGTCCGTAATTTCAAAATGACCAATGAAAATATTTCTATTATTCAGTTGTTTCCTGTTAATTTTACAGGAAATAACATCGTTCTTAGATGGACTTTGTCCAAAAATAGAAAAACATAAGAGTTACATTATAACATTATCTAATAAAGAGGATACAAAGTCTGATGTTATTTAACTTTTATTTTTGACAGATTTCTACATGCAAAATTGATTTGTCAGTATGCGAAACTATTTTTGTTACAGTACTATAATTCAGGTAAACTCTAAAACTCATAAAAATACGATAACGATTTAACTTTATCACTTTTAATTGCCTGAATTTTTTTTGAAATCATAAGAGGTTGCATTGTCTTTCGTCGGTTTTTTTTGTATTAAATGTTATACAATATTTGATTCGAAATTACCATATAAAACGTTTATTTATCATTTTAAAGAATTTAATATTATACGGTTTGTAGAAATTGTGTAATATTTTTAATGTTTTTGTATCAGCATAAGAGTGAGGTCGTCCCTTTGAATTCCTAAAACATCTAAATCCTGGTGTCTCATTTTCTTTCTTAATGCACGGAAAGCCTCTGGAAGTATTCATATAAATGGAGCTTTCTGGAATATCTCTTTCCACTTGTAGGAAATCTTGGACAGCATTTAATTCCTGCACCGGATTTGTTATTAACTTTTCACCGTCAACAATATGTATGTTGTCCATCGGAAAATATTCTAACCATCGTTTTAAATGATTTACATAAAGACCTATGTTAACAGCCGGCCATTTCATATTTACGGTTCCGTTACGGCGTATAGCCTTGCTTTGAAATGTTACTGTGCTGTTGTATTCTCCTTTACTTACAGCTTGTGTAAAATCAGAAATAGCACGAGTAACTGGATTTCGCACAACTAGTATAAGTTTGATAGATTTTGACATATTATAAATCCTTTCTGGCACTTCCTTCGTTACGAAATATCTCGGAGTTTTCTCTATTGTTAAATGTCCGCCATACGACTTTGGCATCTTTTGCCTGAATATAGAAATATACAAAATAATATGTGTACTGCAGTAAAATGAACCGATATATTATCAATTTTATAGATGACAATTTGACAACTGGCTAGAGTGTACTAAATTGGCTCTAGAAGTACAAGAGATAATGTAACCACTGTTTGATCAATATACTTTTTAGTCCTTTAAACACATTAATATTTTCAGATGATATATATATTATTGTTTGTTAATTGCTGTTTTTATTGGGTTTTATGTTACACCGACACTGTATAGGTCATATGGCGATGAAAGACCTAAGGTGCTCTTCCGTGCATTTTTCATGCACGAATGGGCACCTGAATAGAACCACTGACGTTCCGTAAGCTAACTGGATCGCTTCCTTACATGAAAGAATCCAAAGTCCCTGTCGGGATTCGAACCAACAGCGGTGAGGGGCAAGCTGTTTTAACATTTTGAATTTGTGAGGTATGTTTATTCATTTATCAGTAAGCACTATGCTATAACAAATGATAGGATAAAAAGATTTAGCAATCTCGCAATATTTGTGAAGTTAAACATAACAACAGTAAGCAAAGATAAGATTTTTATTATTAATACTTTTATATGGCTTTACACATGAGAAAATGTCAAATAACTATTATTTGGTATAAGAATGAAATTTATGAAATTATTGTACACAATTGTATATTAATTCCCATTGTTTCTAACCGAATTGAATAAGATAGAAATCGTATGAATTGTTACAATATACGTTGTTTTCGTAGTCCGAAAAAGCATGTTTTTAAAACAGTTATTATGATGAATTGTCAGGCATGACAGGGATTTACGAGTTCTGGCAAAACAGTGAGCATTATATAACATTGTTAAAATGCAAAGAAATATAAATGTTAACTCTAAATTCATTGCATTTACAGCCGTTATAGTGATCAAATTCAATTACAGAGTTTGCAAAGCTGACCAAAATAAAGCTAATCTCTATTTCAATTTTATGTTTCATATAACGGTATGACTCTTATCGACATAATTATAAATAATGATATTATTATTATCACAATCGTTTGGTTAATTATGTGTTTGTCGGACAATTATTATAGCTTAACTGTGATTAAAAGTTATTACTGTGAACGCCGTTATTTAAAAGGAATTATTTAGAAACAAGTAGATGTATATAATTTGATACTCTGACCTAATGTCGCGTGATAGTCACGTCAATGAACAATATACAAAATGTCAAAAAATGTTTTGTCAGAAATGATTTAAGTATTGTCCAACAATATTGACCTGGCACTTCATTAATTTCCGTAAAGGTCAGGTGATAAACAGTGGTATCTAACGAATATATCGATATCTTTATTAACTTTACACGTCAATGAGTTGTGGTGTATTGGTATAGATGCCTGACTACTGATATGAAGTTCCCTGGTTCGATACCTTACCAACACCACGTTATGAGGACATACATTTTTTTATTTCATTTTGAAAATAACTTGCAAGAATTAATTTGAAATCGTTTTACTACATCTGGTTTTTAGGATACCTTTTAAGTAGTGTTTTTATTCAATTTTATTTTTTATTTCATTACATTATCTTTAATTAATAAAAAGGACAGCACGTCCATAATACAAATTAAAATTCATACACAACCAAAACTCAAAACGTTTTGCACGAGTTAAGAGAGAAATAGCAATTTTAAAATAAGAAAAAAATATAAAAGTGGCTGAACCAGGATTCGAACCTACGAGTGTGCGTCTATATTATTGAAGTGAAAGCACTTTACGACTGTGCTAAGAGGGATTTGTAATTTAGATCATTTAACAACTGGTTATATACATTCATATCGATTTACAATGAATAGTAACGTTTACGGAATTTACCGACTATGGTCAATGCAGTCAGTAATGCAACAGAAGTGGCCGAGGTGCGAAATTGTTGGTTGGTGACAATCACATAATGTCATTCGTTCGAAAACAAGCAGATTTATTAAAAAACAATGAATATTTTGAAATTAGATATCAATAACATCTTGAGAATATGTCTCGACGCCATCTAACTCTGGAGTGCAACATACTTTCCTCAACCAATATGCGATATATATTTATTCATAAAGAATTATAAAACAATGATGATATTTTTATACTAGAAAAAAGGAATTATTGTTGAAATAGGAATATATAATCTATGTTTGGGAAATTACATTGTTAAAATTCTGCCATTTTTGTATTTATTGACACTATGTTTTCATACTTTGTTTACTTATAGGGTGAAGAATTTTAAATGTAAAATGACATCTGTGTGTGAACCCAAAGTGAACTCAAAAGATGTTGTTTTTTTCTTAAACAATTATCAGTATGCTCAAATATTACATTTGAGCATAGTATATCTTTAAGCATAAATATTTCTTTTTAAGCTTAAATATTTCTGAATATATCAACATATACTTCTTTAAAAACTTTAGACGAATATATTAAAGAAATAAAATGTAACCTTTGTCAAAGTTTTACGTGCGGAAACATCTCTTTAAAACAAAACAAAAGCTCCTAAGATTTTATCAGTTCAGAAGAACTCATTTGATTCCTCACACCAATCAATCCAAAATGACATACCTGTCAAAAGTATTCTGACAAATTGAAATGACTTACATAGTGCTTAATTTATAAATAACGATATGACGTTTTCTAATTGTACTTGATTTTTTGTCAATCATTTATTAGTTTTATATTTTATAATTTTTATTCACAGTTAATGTTTCACTTCGAATCAATCATATATTACCTGTACCAATCAAGTCCTAAATGATAATATCTGTCGAAGAAATGAGGTTCTGGTCCCGCAGCTCTTATATTTGGATTCAGTCTAAGGTACTCGATTAATGCACGCGTTCCACATTTTTTCACTCCAATTATAATTGCGTTTGGCAATCTGCGTGTTAGAGATTTGGAAAAAGTTATATTCCTTTCCTCTTTTAGCATCCTCTTTGCTCTTTGATCAAGATCCTGAAATTTTAAGTTTTGGACATCGTGGAAAGATTGAACATTTACTCCATGAATGATCAAATCCATGTCCCTTGTTTTATTCAGATAAATTGTTTGTAAGAAAACCAAGCAGATGCAAAGCAATAAGAATGCTGGAAATGCTTTGTGTTCAAAAATTATTTTCATATCTCAACATCCACAATTTAACACTTCTTTATTATTGTAACACATTCAAACCATTGTTAAGTACGTATTTCCTCTCAGATACAATTTTACAAATAACAATACCGTTCATCTCAGCGTCCGTTCCACGCGAGTTTACATTTCGCTCTGATGAGTGTTACAAAACATTTATTGAAGACCACTTTCTGTTGTCAACGCGTTCGTTTAGAAAGTTTTATAGGCTCTCAATGATTTCCAATGAATGATAACCATTATGCTGAATGAAATTCAATGACCAATTTAAACAAACTATTATACGATTTTTCTTTACAAATATATCAACTGATACTGAATATGCAGCAGTAATAGAACTATATTATGGAACAGATTCGTGTTGTTTGCTGTATGGTAAAGAATTAAAGAGGCATTCATTTTTATTTTCTGTTAAAAAACAATAGCAATTATGTTTTGTTTCAAAAAAAGTATTTCAGTAATTTTATCTGTGAAAAATGCATGGTTTAACTATTAAATAGAGAAAATAAGAATCCTTTTGTTAAAACAGCGTCCCGGGACAAGAAAGTGTTTCATTAGACATTTAAAAAAAATAGTAGAAAACACTGAAACCCATTTTATTTGGAAACAATATTGATATTAGTACATAATTTGTTATTGCTGTAATGATTTTTGAACATCGTTTTTCCAAAGATATTTGCGATATACTTACAAATAATAAAGTAACTATTACCTTAAAAAACGTCTCCTTTAAATTTCTCAGAAATCTCTATAGTAGATACTAAAGATTTGACCTAAACGACAAAACTGTAAATGTAGCAAGCTTGGATTGCCTGATACTGTTCATGGACAGTACTGAATGATGCAAGTTATCGTCCATGTCCCCTAGCTCTGACTTAAGCAGAATTCAACAGTTTAATATGAAAATGGTGAAATTTTGAATTAAGAAACATCTGCAGATGTGTTCATACGGCAATTATCATGGAATCTTACATGAGACATTTCCGTGCCATTTCATGAAAAGCGGCGTATGGTCCCCCAGTTATAAATGCGTGTGCAAATCACAGGTGACAAATAGAAAGATAATTATGTATATGTCTTGTTAAATATGTAATAAGTAATAGAAAGAGCATCGAAACACGAGGCTATCTGATTTGTACGAGGGGGCGTGGCCCCCGAGTATAAATCAGATAGCCGAGTGTTTTGATGTTCTTTCTCTTTTGCATCAAAGTCAAACAAAAACACGATCCCTGCTGTCACAATATGAAACCCCAGAAAAAGTAACCAATGAATGAGCATCTGAATATGATATTTCTATCGCTTACCCCTTCTCTGCCGCCACAATGAGTAAACCGCAGCAAAAATAAACCAATCAATGGGCATGCTCTGGAGTGTGGATAACTGATACCTGCATTCAAGTTAACGCATTGTGCATGTATATGTATACGATTTAGCTTTGACATCTTTTAAACAGAAAGGTCCCCAAACTATGATACAATTACTGCATCAGTTCTCCTATGATGGTACGGTTATCATTCAAGAGAGTTTCGTTAAATGATATTATAAAAGTATTTTTCATTATTTGTAATATGTTACCTGGTTCAAAGTTGGCTTTCAGTTGAATGATATAATGAAACAACATATTATAACGTATAAAGTTACCATTTCAATTACAACTTAGAAATAACGATTATATAAGTTATATAATTATAAGGGAATAAATAATTATAAAGGTATAAATTCTTGTCACATGGTACTGTATCAAAATGTTTTGTATTTGATATTCGTATAAAAAGTTATGTCAGATACCAAAACATATTCCATTTATGTCACTTGATTATAGATATTAAGTAGAGTCCTTAAAGATCATTGATTCCAACACTTTTAAGTGTTGAAAATTAAATTGAGTACCTCTCAAGCCGTTGCTAGTGGGGGTTGGACGTAATGAATGTTGTATTGTTTATAATTTCTTATGCATAGACTCAATCAAACCTGCAGTTATCATGTAATTAATGCTTCCGAAGGATCATCCTTTTCCCTTTAAAAATATAAAAACAACAAAATCTCCTCGTTAAATGTCTTATAAAAATGCTGCCAGGTTTGTTTGTTTGTTTCATTTTACGCCTTTTCCCAACAGTATTTCAGTCATATAGATGGGTAGTTTTCTAACAATCGTTCCTGGTGAGTTACACTAGTACTAGACTACCTTCCTCCGTGCTGCCAGGTAAAATATACTTAAAATTCGTGAGGATATAAGTGATCTTATCTTGTTTATACTGTATCCTGATTGTAATTGTGATATTGAAAAAATTATACAGGCTATTATTGCGTGACTTACTTTCAACATTGTTTATTGTACTATCTGATCAGCCGCAGAAACAAAAGAACATTTAATTGCGCTGTCAACCTTTGGTCATCTACCGCTAAATGTATTGCTAACATTTACTAAAAGAAATTGGAATACATGTTGATGGTGATAACCACGTGTCCAACGATCTCGTAACAAACTAATAGAAAATCATTTATTTGTTTCAAAGAAAAATAATTGTATAATTTTATATATTTATATATGCAATAAATAAATATTTGTAAACTTATACTTATAAAGTTTATACGCAATACTTGTAAAATTTTTAAAAAGCGTAATTATTAACTAATTTACATGAAAAAAACATAGTTTAACAGTATGTTATTTAATTATGAACCAAATACTATATTACCACTTGTACATTGCCGTTTATTAATAGTAAACTCAAGTATAGACATTGTTTAAGAATTTAATATCCAATACTTATCATTCTATTGTAACAGTTAGAAAATTGTTGACAAATATTCCCAAGGTCACATATTAACCATCTTCACATCTAATAATAAATGTATAAAATGATTGATGTTTCAATAATTGCTTTTCTGGCGATTGTTTCTCCCTGGAAAACGACTATGAAATATGTTCATATTACATTATCTTAGCTGTGAAATATAAAAAAAAACTGAATATATCTAAAAGATATAGATTCGCATTGTTTTTGTTTGATTTATTTCAGTCTTTAAATACAATATGAAAAATATTAACATTCTCTGGTAGATATTAGCTGAAAAAATAATATATTTTTGCTTTTTTTCTGCAACAGTTCAATTTTTTAATTTTGGCATTAATTTTTAACAATTGTATCCATTGTAAAAAAATTTTTTGCCAGATGACGAACAATTATATAAACCCTTTCTCAATTAAACTTACGGATGCGATCATATAATTATTGTCTCTTTTTGTCTATCGCGAAGAAATAATTATTGTTGAAATATCTGATGAAGTATCTATGTTTATCCTTTGGTGTAACAACAGGCGTTTACTTACTAACAATCATAATACTACTCTGCAAATATTGAATATAGTTGCAATGACAAATAAGAAACGCAGGTGTTTCTCGAAGTTTTATTTCTTGTAATGTTTTATTATTTAATGTACAGACATATTTTATTTTCTAAATTCGAATCAGTCAAGATGTATAATTACGTCGATGTGGTTTATTTCTTCTTGGCATAATCGCACAAATGCAGTATTTGATAAAATTAGGTGTAAAGGGATACTCAGACAAATAAATGACACAAATATTAAATGATCTTGTGTACTCAAATCACGCTAAAATGACATTTTTTAAAGTCCAAGCATGACTTTCTGTATAAATTATATTTATTTTGGGTTTGAAGCGTAAATATATCTAGATATGATTAACGACATTTAGGCGCGACAGAATCACCGAGTAGTTTTCATTTAGAAGTCATGTGACTTGAACAAACCCCGGAATTTCCAATAACAGATATTGTGAGTATTGTGTAATGGAAACAAATCTAAGTCTTTCATATGGCATGTTCTTTAACGTTTCCAGAGTTCACTGTGACAATTTTTACGAAATCTTAACGCTCTAACCTGGCCAACGCCTAGTGACTGACTAGTGTATTCGTTTTGAGGAGATTTGCATAATAATGAATGAAAAATTCAAAACGAAGAAAAAATTTTGCCTGTGTCTCCTACTTGTTGCAATGTTTGTAAGTGTATTTTATCCAGAGCCGCTTGGCGGTGTTTTATATCAATACACCAATTGGTTTGTAACATTTTACATATCATGTAACCTGCATAGTTCTTTTAAACGAGTGCTAGCTATAAAATTCTGGAAACAAAGTGATCCCTCGGAAGCATTAATCACAACAAAATTACATAAGAATTGCAGACTCGGTTTGATTGAGTCTGTGAACGAGGGATAATGAATAAGTGCAACATCCCTCACGCCCCTAGCACCGGCTTGAGCGGTACTCAATTCTCAACACTTAATAGTGCTGGCATCAATGAATATATAAGACTGATAATAAGAGCGATTACACATTTTAATTTGATATATTTGAAACAATAATTAGTATTGAGAACTGAAAACCATTTCAGCTGGTGCTAATGGGCATAGGAGATGCTGTTCATTTTATAATATTTCGAAATCTGACTTAATTAAACCGAAACTGTAATTTTTGACTATCTACTGTGTGTTTTGTTGTTTATATAGACCATGTCCTATAAAGTAGTTTGCAATTTTATTTGCTCTGTAAGGACGGGGTTGTTAATTTAATGTTTTTGTAATTTACGAAGAGAAATGTATCAGTAAAATTAGCAGACATTTTATTGATATTTACATTTACAGCCATAAAAAATACTGGTTAATAATACAGTCATATGATTATTTGTTGTCTTCTTTCAGTCCTCAGTTTTATTCTCCATTTTAAACAGTGCAATTTTTGTTTAAGAGCGTGGAATGATTGTACATACTCATTTTGTTCAATTTTATGCAAGCTACAGAGAAATGGATATAATTGATAATATTTCATTTTATTCTAATTGTTCTTTTTCCATTAACAAAGGATGAGACGGCATTTCACGAATTACAATATTATCTATATAAATCTTTTGAAATAATTATAAAAGATCTTTATTATGTAAACAAAGATTTGGTCTGCAAAAGAGAATGCTGATATTTTAGATAGACCCATGTGTATCGCTTGCTTGAAGATACATTAT